TGAGCCAGAGCGGAATCGGCAGAACAGGTGGAGCTGAGGACCACCACAGCAGAGCAGACAGGTCCGGAGATCCCCACGGCGGAGCAGAAGCCCACCAGGGCAGAGCAGCTGTGACTTGACTTGACTCATGAAGATCAACTGTGACTGGGCACACAGATAATTCAGAATCGGGTCCATTGACAGTGACTGGGCGGACAGACAGTTCATAGTTAAATGCATTGGCTGGAATAGGACTGGCAGATAGTTCACAATCAAGGGCATTGACAGAGGCTGAAGTAGACAGTTCAGTGACAGAAACTGGCAAGACAGACAGTTCAAAATCAGACTCAGTGAGGGAAACTGGACTGGCAGGGAGTTCACAAACAGATTCATGGGCTGATATGGGATAGACTGACAGCTCATAATTAGTTGCATTAACTGAAGCTGGACTGGTAGACATTTCAGTGACTGAAACTGGACAGACGGATGGTAGGCTGAAGTAGACAGTTCAATGATGAAAACTGGCAAGACAGACAGTTCAAAATCAGACTCATTGAGGGAAACTGGATTGGCAGGTAGTTCACAAACATATTCATGGGCTGATATGGGATAGACTGACAGCTCAAAATTAGTTGTAATAAATGAAGCTGGACTGGTAGACATTTCAGTGACTGAAACTGGACAGACGGATGGTTCAACAACAGACTTAATGACTAAACCAGGACCGACAGATAGTTCAAATTCAGACTCAATAGAAACATTAAGAAAGACAGACAGCTCAGGTTTAGATTTCTTGACAGAGACAGGCAAGACAGACAGTTCGAAATCAGAGACATTAGTTGAGACGAGACGGAGAGACAATTCACAATCAGCCTCCATAGCCGTGACAGCCGTGACAGGGCAGGACGAGGATTCACAGACGGCCTCCATAGCCGTGATGGGACAGGACGAGGATTCACAGATGGGCTCCATAGCCTTGACAGGACAAACAGGAAGTTCACAGGTGGATACTACTGACACCTCTGGAGGTTCTGCAGCGGATGCCGCCACCTCTGGAGGTTTTACAGCAGTACCATCAGGAAATAGGGGGAATTCATTAATATTCTCTTTAACAGGACAGGTACAGCGTTCATCAACGGTTCCTTTCACCGCAACATGACAGGCTGAAGGTGCATTGCTGGGCGCCACCACCGCTCAAGGAGCTGAAGCGAGCACCGCCGCCTCGAGAGGTTCTGCAGCATGGGCCGCCACCTCTGGACAAGCAGCAGCGGGCACCATTGCCTCTGGGAACACGCCAGCGTGCGCCACTACCTCGGGAGGATCTGCAGCATCAGCCGCCACCTTGGGAGAAATCCCAGTGGCCTCCGCCATTTCTAAAGTTTCAGTGGTGGTTTATGCAGCCCAAATACACCGTAAAGCGATTCACATAGTGGGAAGTGATACAGACAGGGGAATTAGTTCAGGAACTGGAGGGCTTGAGAATGCTGGCTTTGGGATACCAGCTGCACGTGCCGACACCAGGGGTGGGTCCTCCACGCTGGATGCCATTCTGGGATACTGAAGAACAGTCCTGGGTGCAACAGACAGGAAGTGACAGGACTCTGAGCGAACAGACGTGATGTGACGTGACTCTGGACGAACAGCTGTGATGTGACATCACTCTGGAAGAACAGCTGTGATGTGACGTGACTCTGGATGATCAGCTGTGACGTGACGTGACTCTGGAACAGACGTGATGTGACGTGACTCTGGACGAACAGCTGTGATGTGACATCACTCTGGAAGAACAGCTGTGATGTGACGTGACTCTGGATGATCAGCTGTGATGTGACATGACTCTGGATGATCAGCTGTGACGTGACGAGGCTCTGGAAGTTCGGCTGAGACGTGACGAAACTCTGGAAGTTCGCTTGAGATCTGACCTGATTCATGAAGATCAACTGTGACTTGACTTGACTCATGAAGATCAGCGGTGAATTGAAAAAGAGCAGCTGTGACTTTACTTGACTCATGAAGATCAACTGTGACTTGACTTGACTCAGAAAGAGCAGCTGTGACTTGACTTGACTCATGAAGATCAACTGTGACTTGACTTGCCTCATGACGATCAGTGATGACTTGATTTGACTCCAAATGATCGGCGATGACTTGACTTGACTTGACTCATGAAGGGCAGCAGTGACATGACAGAGCATTCTAGTCGCCGCCATTTTGTGAACAGGCTCTGCTGTCGCCGCCATTATGTGAGCGTGCTCCGGTGTAGCTGCCATTTAATGAACGGGTTGAATCACCGGAGTAGCGATCAGTACATTTGAATGTCCCTGAGCTTGTGGCTGACAAAATCCCACGGTCGCCATTACCGGCGCAGACACAATGTCGCGTTCCTCCTCCGCGACACCAACAGTGAATAGAGAGCCAACAGTCAACAAAGCATTATCCAGAAATTGGCTGAGTGACAAACACGGACCCTCGCGTCTAAGCTTAGATTGAAGAGGTTGATTCACGCCATCAGAAAAAAACTCTATTAAAATAATGTCCGGTAAATCCGAGTAGTGAGCAATGGCTACAAACTCTCGAATATAAGTCTCCAAAGATCGCGTGTCTTGTTTAAGGGCTAATAAAATCCTTGCGGTGTCCATACCTGGCCAATGTCCACTTGAACAGCTGCTGGATCCTTGTGTGGCCGAGTATTCTGTAACAGGACAGGTGAGATGTGAGGCGTGCGGATCCATGTGCAAGCTTTCATTAATAAAACTAGTCAAACACACAGGCAGGGTCGAACAACAGCAGACAGGTATGGCATAGGCAAGACAGGAGAGCAATCCTAAACGGGCTTGAGTCAGATGACAGCAAACGTAATCCGGACTGCATTTCCCATCATCCATTGCACTGATTACACACACACAGCTGCATCCAATGAGACACGCTTTATAAGCCATGGACTTCCTCTCTCTCACTAGCGAGTATTGTTTAGCGCTTATCTCTCACCTAGTGATAGCCTGTCTAGTCTAGTCACTTTGTGTTGCCCTGCCTGTTTACTGATCTTCTGCCCGTCTTGGAATTCTCTCTCGTCTTGTCGTTTGGACTCTGTTTGCATCTCGCCTGGACTTATGCTCACGTTTACAGATTACCCCTCTTGTCAAGCCCTCATGTAACAGTCTGTGTGGTGTGAGAGTCAATGTAATGGAAGAGCGACCTCTGGTGGCAATCAGCCGGAAGGCCACGGACCGGATTCGTGACAACCTAGCACATGTTGTCTAACCCCAATAGAGTTCAGAATGTCTAGAAATGCTGATCCCAATGCATCTTTTTCATTATCAACATGGATATTAAAATCACCAACAATTAAAACTTTATCTGCAGCCAGCACTAACTCAGATATAAAATCAGAAAATTCTTTAATAAAATCTGTACGGTGCCCCGGTGGCCTGTATGCAGTAGCCAGTACAAACATCACAGGGGATTTATCATTAACACTCGTTTCTCTGGATAATGTTATATGAAACACTATTACTTCAAACAAGTTATAATTGAAGCGTGCCCATCTGCTTTATGTACAGGTGCATCTCAATAAACTAGAATGTCGTGGAAAAGTTCATTTATTTCAGTAATTCAACTCAAATTGTGAAACTCGTGTATTAAATAAATTCAGTG